CAGGTGGGGCGCGGTGGCGCAGCTTTGTCCCCGCACGGCCCGAGGCTGTGCCGCCCGCCCGCCGAGGCTGAGTCACGGCCGGGTGTGTGGCCAGATGGCCCCACCCGCAGGGATGCGGCCCTCCCGGCTGCGGCGATGGAAGGGATGGAGACAGAGCAAGGTGGCTTCTGTGCAGCGCCCCCCGGGATGGAGAGGGCCAGCCACGCCCAGCCAGCGTGGGCTAGAGAGCCCGGTGGCAGCTGCTCCCCCTGAGAGTCCACGCGGAAGGGAGCGTGTTCTAAGACACGAGTGAAGGGCTAGGGCAAAGCTCCGACAAACCCGGAGCGGCGGGGTCCAGGAAGGTTCCTCCCTGCTCTTCCTCTCCCCCGCACCTGCCCAGGGCCATCTGGAGGACGTGAAAGAAATGTAGAATCCCCTAGCGTGGTCAGCAAAGGTGGGGACAGCCACCTGCATTTTGACAAGTATCCCAGCTCCTTTCAAACTGGTGGCTGGTGCAGGGCGTTTAGAAGATGCCAGGTTGTGCTCCGGCACCTTCTCTCTGCTGACTAAGGACAGGGCGAGCAGGATGCCTAGGGGAAGAAAACGAAGGTCCGCGGTTGGGGTGAAACCATCACCAGGCCCTTCAAGTGTGTGCTTACGAGCACACGCCGGTGAAGTCCCCCACAGTCCGTGAAATTCTCAACACTGTCTGTAGCTATTGTTTCCGGAGACGTGCTGCGGTCCTGGGCTGGACCTTCAGCTCGGACCACCTCAGCTCTGGATGCAGGCATCTCACCATCTCAACCCCCGTGTCGCACCTCTGTGGTAGTGAATGCCGGCACCGCTGGCACTTTGGTACCTTGTGTTTTTCTGGTATGGTACCATGTGTGGATAGTGTACCTTAAGCCTACGAGACGCTAAGATACATGAATTCCCGAAGTCTATTCCTTCTAGATAGATGTCAGCTCAAACGGATTTTGGGTTTTATGTAATCTCCAGTTTAAAGGCTGCTAGTCTATTAAAGGAGGATCGAGGAAAAAGTTCACTGAAAATTAGGCTTAAGACAAATTTATCCCTTTGCTTGGCAAATGTCTTCTCCTGTGACAGCTCATAATGAAAAAAAAAAAAACCCGAATAAAGACAAATTACATTTTCAGCAGTTTGAAGTGTGGACACAGATGTCTCTGGGGGCAGATGGCTTTGACTCAAATCTCAGCATTTCCACATAGCCACATGACCCATCCTGCCTCCATTTCCCTTCCTGAGGGTGGGATGCATGTCTTCCTTTGACTACATGCCACATGCTGCCTAAAAAGATTCCCAGGGTTTGTCACCGTGGCTCTGGGGTACTAATGTCCCACTGAAGCTCAGCCCATGCCTCCCAGCCCTGCCCTTTCCCGGCCTCACCTCTCCTGACTGGCCGTCAGACATTAGCCATGAGTGTTGTCATGAAGTTCTCGTGGTTCGGTGTAGTTATTGTATATACCACGAATTAGCACAAACAAACTACTTAAGTTAATTTCTCTAATTCTTACCCTCACCTTCCAAAATAGGAGTTACTGTTTTCATGGCTGCCTTTCCAGGAAGGAGACAGAAGTGTAGAGATTTGGAGAAACACCCGAGACCACACTGTTGGGAACAATCAAATCCTGACACTCCCAGGCCCTGGTACCCAGCCACTTCGTCCTGTGGCTGTTATATAACCGCGTGGATTACAGCAGGGGAGGGGCCTACCTCCCTCTTGACCCATCAGACAGCATGGTTGGGATTTTCAGTGTCCATCAGAATCCTTCCTCTGTACAAAGCTCCCTTCTTGCCCTGAAAACTAGTGTCTTTGGCGGGGTTTCAAAAGCTCTGGGTTCAGGCACACACTCCAAGGTTGGCACACACAGCTTTCAGTGAAGGCGCACCGGGATTCAGGGACTGTGAACCTGTCTCTGGAGCCCAGAGCTTAGAAGTGCTCCCTGGAGGCAGGGTGCTGGTGGTTTACAAGCTCTGTCCATTGGCTTCCCCTGTGGCAGGTCGACCACCGTCCTGGAGCGTAGTCTGGCACCAGACTCACACACGGCTGTTGTTCACATACTGACTTGTTCTTCTTACCTTATCTCTGCTCTGGTCTTCTGTCTCCTGTCATCTTCAAGGTCAAACTGCAAATTCTCCTCTGCACTGCCATGCTCCAGGGCAGTGGTTCTCAACCTGTGGGTCGCGACCCCTTTGGGAGGAAGGCAAACGACCTTTTCATAAGGGTCTCCTAAGACCTTCAGAAAACACAGATGTTTACGTTATGATTCATAACAGTAATGGAGTTACAGTTATGAAGTCGCAACAAATAATTTTATGGTTGGAGTCAACCACAGCATGAGGAACTGTATGAAAGGTCACAGCATCAGGAAGGCCAGCACTGCTGCTCTAGGGCATCATTCTTGTCACCAGGACTCAAGTGTTTGTGGTGACAGAGGCAGGAAGGGTGGGGAGGCTTGCTCTTATCTCTCTTTCTAGTTTATTGTAACTATTTTGAAGACTTTACCAGGCACGTCTAATCTTTTGACCTTGTGACTTGAAGGTGTTACCTACAAAGTTCATGCTCAAAGGGGGAAAAAACCCACAGATATCTCTTAGTGTTCATGGTGAATACAGGTTTTTGTGTTAAGCTGTATGCATAGCTCTCCTTAGCCACAGGTTGGACACGCCTACGTCGTTAACCCTTTGTAACCCACACACTGAAGCTTGCTCCCCTAAAAGGGTGTGTTAAACAGTCTTCAAGGCAATAGTATTAAAGACCTGGGGCCTTTTGCAGGTGAGGAGGACCCCAGAGGTCAGCCGTTATTGTTGGTTTAATGCCCATGGTAAAGGCCTTGAGGCTCTACATTTGAGCTCTTCTGCCTTCTGCCATGGGCTGGTGCAGGCTCACTGCATGTCTGCCCTGGGCTGGTGCAGGCTCACTGCATGTCTGCCCTGGGCTGGTGCAGGCTCACTGCATGTCTGCC